TTATTTAATCTGACTCCCTTTGGAATGAATTCTGGCTTTTCGTCATCCAATCCTCCCCTCTCCCCTCCTTCTTCGCCCCTGCCTACTTTGCCTACTCGAACAATTTTCAGCAGCCTAAAAAATAATTCACTCAAATAGTCGACTTCCTCAAACTCACCGCAGCGTTAACTATTAATCACTGAATAAGAGGGCAAAGGAACAGACAAAACCATCATGTAATCGCATTTTCCCCAGGTGAGGAACTACGTATTAGCAGTTCAAATAAACTGACAACTTAGGTCATGCTGCCAGCGATTGTTAGCACAGAGGAGCGCAACTGAGCACGCTGAAATCAGACTCGAGCATAGGCGGATCCACAAAGGGAGGAAGGAGGAGGGAGGGGGAGGGAGCGATGGACCCTGCGGCACAGGTAACAGTGTTAAAACTATGAAAAACTCTCCTTCGCACCTCTGGCCGTCCCCCCTTCTCCCCGGCAGTCGCGGCACCAGTGGGTCCACTTCCTACCTCTCCTCCTTCCCCTCCCTCCCTCGGCAGGCCGTCCTGAATTTGCCTATGGATTCGAACAAAACATCGCAAATCTTTGTCACTGCTTAAGCAATAAACCTCAGCTGAGCCCGCCCGGTCGGACATCCGGAAAAAATACCTCCCTGACTTTTATATGTTTCTGCGCACTTTTTCATATAGTCCTCCAGCTCCTCCATCTTCACTCTGATTTCACGCGCACATTTCTCATAAGCCAACTTTCTGTCGTTTTCCAAATTTCGAGAAAGACAGTCGCGCTTGGCAATGGTCACCCGTCGCTGCGATTCCTCTTGCAATGAGCGCCGCAATTCATAGAACTGAAACTCACTGCATCGGCGGAAAAAAAGGTGATATAATTGTACATCTTAAAATTCTGGTTAACTGTATTGCTCGGAATTTCTCGTGCTACAGTTAACGAGGCTTTATGCTTCGAAACAATAGCGAAACCGCTGCCAGCGCTTTTCGCAAATACGTTTTCTTCAGGATTGGCCGGGTCGAGTAACAAAAAAGCGAAGGAGGAACGAGGAAAGAGCGCACATCTCGATGTCACCGAAAGAACTTTTTTTTCCTCCAAACTTTTTTACGAATCCAAGCAAAAGGTAAACTGCATTATTCGCAATGCATTGGGTCGACAAATATACCCAGAACACCAAGACCAACGGATAATCAGTGCAGGTATCCCATGTTAGTGATGTTACTCGGATAACTATCCAAAAGAGCCGGTGCAGCTACGCCGATCACTTCCATCCTAAACTGCGAACCTCCAGTTAGCACAAATCGTCTGGAAAATCGGTGCATCCTGTATCATCGAGCTATTTCAAGTAGTCTGTTTTGAATTCTGCATTCATTGCCGTTCAGTGTTTTGCATATGCTGCTGCAACTGCTCAATTTATCACAATATGTGTATTGGGACTTCGAGTTTTCTCTATCCTTCATAAATATTTCTCTTCCTGGCGGGAATATTCCTCGCTTCTTCCCAATCGTGTCCGTCACTTCCTTTGAAGTCGTTCAAGCAGCCTTTTGGGACAACACTAGCTGATACGAAACTTGAGACGAGAACAACAAGGCGAATAATATGCCAATTCCACTTTGAATTTCACTTTCTCGTAGTTGTTATAATATCCTACAGGTGTAATTCATCTGACTGGGAATATGATCGTATAATTAAACGATCATAAAAAAAGACTTTAAATATTTTACACTCCACTGATCCTCCGGAGTTCGCTCTTCTGCTTTCGTCCATAGCGACAGCCTTTCGTATCAGTACTTCACTGTCATATACGTTGCACGAAAGATGGCTATGAAAATGAAGAATTCCTTCATTTTGACCACTCTGTTATTAACGAAACATGTGTATTATTGTGTGCAACAAGTAATACCACACTGCAACTGGTGGGTTTTCAACACGATACTATTACTACGATGAACATGGCCCTTCCAATTCAAAAAATTTAGATATCAATCACCGGGGTGCAAAAAATGGGTAGCTTTTCACCGTGTAACTCTCATGTCCGGAAACTGTGATATACATTTACTCTGTGGCCAAAAAAGCCGCAGCCGTCTGTTCTTCCACATTAACACTAATAATATTTCGCATTTCTTTTTCGATGCATTGATTTTCAGGCCCCGCTGTTTCTGCCGTATCGTAGCACAGGACAGGAGTTTGGCATAGCTGAGTCCAGAATGCTGGAGTATTTCAGATAATATACAAACATCGAGTCCTAAATCGAAAGCCCAGGCAGTTTTGATGGTCATAACTGCTATTATTATGAACAGCATTCCTTCAAAAAAGTTCGGCTAATTTCATTTTAAACCGACCCCAAAATATCGAGGAAAACCGATTTTGCGTACACCGAGAACAAATAAAGAAGGCGGGAACGCCTTTTATAATGCTTCTTTTAGAGATTAAAGATTAGGAAATGCCTCACACGCATTCGCTCTTGAATATCGCGGACGATTTCTGCCTTTTTCCTGAGATACTCCGGTGATATCTGGTTCAAAATTTCGGTCTGTTTTTTCTCGATCTGGAAAAACCAGATTTAAAAGGCAATAAACACACAACATGAGAATGAATTTCATAGGAAAAAAAATTAGCATCTCTTGGTCGGACTTACAATACACATAAAACATTCGTGGGAATGTGCAGACCTTAAATGGGGTCTAAGAAAAAATCTTCCTAGGATGAAATATAGGTGCGCCGGGAGATCAAACATCACTTCCTTTTCAAGATAACTGAAGAAACCAGGTGCAGTAAATAGTTCGTGGCCGTTGGAAAGCAGAACCGTAGTCTTATAAACAAAAACCAAGCGGACGGTCCAAAAACAAATAAAATATCGGGGGCGGC